TAACTTCCCACTAATCTCTCCTAATTAGTTTTATCTCCCTTAATTAATTCCCTCATAATATTATTACTAATAATAATAATAATGGTAGTAATAATAATAAAAATAATATTACTAATATTTACCACACATTATTAATTAATTATCATTACCATATTATTCTAAGGTTTTATTCATGTTACTCAATTAAGGCTAATTCCTCGCAGTCACCCTTAACCACACACCCTTAATTAAGACAATGTCAAACAAGCACATAAAATAAATCATAAACTGACTAAATAATTAAATGGGGTGTTACACTTACCGCTGATGTCGATGACCAGCACCGGCACCGGATGATTGCAATTATTATGGATAACCTCATGAGTTTGGTAAACCCAGATGGCGAGGTTTATATTGGATTATCTTGGACTGCACACATAGCTCGTGAGAGGCTTATTTAGACATCTTTTGTATATTATGTATTATTTGTATCATTTGTATATTACTCAAACATCTTCATCATAACTTTTTATTAGATGATATTTTTGATCTCCGATTGATGCAACATCAACATTACCTTACATTTGACAATGAATTATATAATTTAAACATAACTTTAAAAAAACGATAATAAATTAGAAAATCTAGACACTATCAAATGACTCTGAATGTTTCATCATCTTAATTATGTAGTCGGCGGACCTTGAAATCTTAGCATCTAACTCGATTGGCCCATTTGTTAACCTACGACAAGATGATCTCCACATATCCTTCACATCTTCATGGGTCTTCAACTCAATGAGGTTGTATTTCACCCTCCCATCAGTATCAATTCAATATTCACGAAATTAGATCTTTCTCACCTTTCTATTTTTAGTGTCAGGCAACAATTCATTCAACTTGGACATCAGGCTGGCGAGCGATGTGGTGTCATCCGAAATCTGGAACTCAAAGGGAGGTGAAGCTCCGTTGAAGTACACTTATTCCTTAATTAAAAATTAAGGAAGAGATATTTTTTTATATGTATTTATCAATCAACAGGTCACCCTTCTATTTATACAACTTTGCATTTACTCCGGAGCACAAAAAACTGTTTATACACTACTGGAAATTTTTAATTTCCGGTATTAATTGTAACTTATCAGAAATTTCAAAAAATCATGTATATCAAAAATTTACAATACACTACCAAAATTTTTGTTTGTAGCAAAATTTTCGATTTTGCCTGCCAAAAATTTCATTCGATTTTTGGTCGGAGACAGTTTTGACAATTTAAAATTATGGAGGGTGCCAAATATAATTGGGGGAGTTAAAATCTCTAATAATTTACCAATTTTTCCAAGCTCAACAAAAGGCATCAATGAACAAGGATAATGCGATAGAAGCACCACTCAATAAAGTGATAAAAAGGGCATGTATCTCTTCCGAGCATTTTACTTGTCACCCTCTCATTTGTACCTGACACCCCATTTTAAACACTTTTATCATTATACCCTTTTGTAAAAATCGGATTTTTTTTTTAATTTATCCAATTTTCCTGTAAATTTGTAGTATTTATCGGAAATTTTTTATTTTTCCTTTTTTTTTTATTGAAAATTTCTGATAAAAAAATATGAAGAATATTTGAATTTTCAAAAAAAAAATTATACTACTCGAAATTTCTAGTACACTTTCGAAAATTTTAAAATTTCCAGCCATGTAATTTTTTTTATTGAATATGATCTACCAAAAATTTCATTTTAGTTGAAATTTCAAGTATAAAATAGAACATTTAAAATTTTCGATAATATTGTTAAGTTCACATAAATTTTAGAAATTCCCGGTACACTGGAAATTTTAAATACACTACCGAAAATTTAGTGTACCAAAAATTCTGATATGTCTACCAGAAATTTTGTACTAAAATTTGTTTCAAATTTTTTCAAGGGTTTTGAAATTATGAAACTATGGCAAGTGTCAGGTTCAATATGGAGGTGCAAAGTTAATTCCTCGTCTCTTCCAAGCAACTCTAATGTCAAAACAACTCCAAAATTCCATCGTAGCCCTCAAAATCCTAACTAAACAGTACGAAACCTCTTATACCCTCCCTTTAAATGTTGGTTACGAAGACCATTGCCAACATAATTAAGTGTATACTCCCTGAGGTCATTGATGAAGAGCAGAGTGGTTTTGTGCAGGGCCGTCTGATAACTGATAACGCTTTGGTGGCCTTGAAATGTTTTCACTGACTAAAGAAAAAGAAGAAAGGGAAACGTGGTCACATGGCGCTCAAATTGGATATGTCAAAGGCTTATGATCGATTAGAGTGTCAATTTGTAACAAAGGTTCTACCTCTGATGGGCTTCCCAAGGCATTTGGTGAATCTTATTGAGAGATACATTTCCACTGTCTCTTATAAGGTTCTTCTGAATGGGCAGCAGTGTAGGAGTTTTGCTTCCAGCCGGAGACCCACTCTCACCTTATCATTTTATTCTTTGTGTAGATGTTCTCTCTGGGCTCATCAAGAAGGAGGCGAAGGATGGAAAGATTCATGGCTTGAGGATTGCGAGGAAAGCTCCAACGATTTCACACTTGTTCTTTGCAGACGACAGTCTGCTGTTTGGTCATGAAAATGTTAATGAAGCTTCAGAAGTGTTACAGGTTCTTCACAGGTGCCAACAGTCGTCAAGCCAGGTGGTTAATCTAGATAAGTCTGAGGCATCGTTTTGGTGGGTTTCGAGGAATGGAGAAAGGAAGGTGCATTGGTTAACATGGGATAAACTGGCTAGGGCAAAGAAAGAGGGAGGTATGGGATTTCGTGGCTTAAGCGAGTTCAACACTAGCTTATTAGAGTAGTACTAGAGGCTATTAACAAAAGAAGATTCTCTTATTGGAAGAGTTTTAAAAGAAAGCTACTTTCCTATATGCGACATAGATGGATGCCAATCTGGTTTTAATCCAAGTTATGCTTGGAGAAGTATCTTGGGTTCCAGACAGCTTGTCCATTTGGGGTCGCTTGAAGGATTGGGAATGGTACTAAGGATTGGGATTGGTGGTCCCTGGCATACCTAGTTTAAAGATCCTGAAGCAGTGTGGCAATTTGGACACTAAGATGAAAGTTTGTGACCTGATTGATGAGGAGGTAGGAGAGTGGAAGAAGGATCTCATTTTCTCTTCTTTTAGGCAGGAAAAGGCAGTAGCATTCCCCTTTCTCAGAGGAACATTGAAGATGAATTAATTTGGCACTATGAGAAGAATGACATCTATTCTGTGAAAACAACATATCATCTATGCATGAATGGAAGATTTGGCTTGAGCCCTGGTCCCTCTACTGATCCTCACAACAACCTCTGGAAGCTCATTTGGAAACTTCCTCTCCTGAACAAAATTAGAAACTTCTTATGGAGATTGGTAAGGTATATTCTACCTACGAGGGACAACCTAAGAAAGAAAGGTATGATTATTGATTCATCTCGTCCTTTCTGTCACTCTTCTTCTGAAATGTGGACCACCTCTTCCTTGAATGTGATTTTGCAAGACAAATTTGTTCTCTTCTGTCCTTAGCCTCAGAACTCCTTCTAATGTTGGAATCTGCTTTTGGTACTCTCTGGCAAAGATTCTTTTGTAAGTCAATTGTTGGGTGCTTTACTCTACAAAATCCGGTTGACACGAAATCTTCTCCTTTTCCAAGCGCGAATGTCTCAACCAATCCAGGTTGCTGCTGAGGCTGTTGACTGAGGAATGATCACAATAAATCCCCTAGCCAGGATTCTACAGAAATCAGGAGTGACCTCAATGTACTTCAGGTGGACGCGGGTGTTTTTGAAGATGGAGTGATGACTTTTGGGTGTATTGTGAGAGACTCTGCAAACGGTATCATCCTGTCAGCCAGCAAGTCTGAGAGATTGAAGGTTGATCCTTCTGTTGTAGAATTGTTGGCCATTAGATGGGGCATTCAACTTGCAATGAACATCAACGTCAAAAACCTCATAATCCAGTCTGATGCCTCCATTGCTGTTGATTGTATTAATTTTTGTAAGGAGCATGCTGTGTTAGAACCTATTGCTGAAGCCGGTAGAATTCTTCTTAGGAATTTTTCTTTGTTTTCTGTTATGCATATTAGTAGGGGCATAGTCTTGTGAGAGTAGGAAAATGTTTTGGATTCAAGACTTAATTGGAGGAATGGCCCTTGCTGGACTCTCAGGGTTCTTTTGTTCGGCCTTTGGCTTCTTAATCGAAATCTTTTCTTCATAAAAAAATGTTGGAACCTCATGAACGTCCAAAGGAACGTCAGCTAGAGTAAGAGAGCTGTGTGGGATGAGAATAGGAAAATTCAGAATGAAAATGAGACGACTGGAACCATTAACGCCTCGTGATATCTTTTTCACTTTGGTTTTCAACACCACCATACAAAACAGCACCTCTATGAAACCTCGAAGAATTAACTCTCACTTTATAGGATATAACCCAAATATCACTAACACTGTCAAGAAGTTACAAAAAATGGATAGATAGATAGTACCAACTCATTCTCCCCCACATTCACCTTATTGAATCAGGCCAAATACTTATAAGGAATCCTACAACATTTTCTAGTGAGAATTCACATTCTTACGAAGAATTCTGTTGCCCGACTTTTAAATTTTAGTCAAACGAATATATCTCAATTCTGTTATGCAATTGCTATTTAGTTACTGCTTGTAACTAAGCTCCGTACACTTGGCAGTTGATCCTATAATTTGGGATTAATTTACTTATACAAGATTCAATAATAATCCATGAAAGAACACTCAAAAGGTTCCACAATTTAATTGTTCTCTAATTTATTTCTCTTCTCAATACTTTCAAATATTATATTCATTTTTTCCAAAATCAAGATATCTCGGTAGGTTGGTCTCAATATTTTTCTATTAGAACTGGATGGGATTGAATCCCTAATCAAATATTTAAAAGATCTAAATATCTATCATTTATATCATACTATTTTAGTAAAAAAAAACATGTACATTTTGGGTGCAATTACAAGGCCAAAATGCTTGGAATTAGTTATGATTTTCCTCTGATCTTCCCTTGCCACGAAGCATGTCGCCGAAATGTCCCAGCATGATGCGCCTAAATCTAGTATCCTCCGCCGGTGGTGGTGGTGACGCAGCACTCCTGGGAGAAGTAGACTTTTCTGATAGCACTTCTGTACTGTCTCTCCTTCCAAGCAAGCCACCATCACCAAAGAAGCTGCTCATTGATGATGCCAGACCAACATGAGAACTCACCACCTTATTACTTATACTACTATAACTTGTCCCTGATCTTTCCTTCATAATAATGTCAAGGGCTTCTTTATGCGCTGGATCCAGTGCATCCAAGTCTTTAAAAAGGTTTTGTATTGCAGGCAGGAGGTGGTCTTTGACACTGTTTGCAGAAAGATCTGTATGATAAACAGTAATAAATCATGTTTGCTGTAAGAAAGAGAAGCTAAAGATCAGAAAAATCATGTTTCCGATCCTTGAAAAATAAAAGCAATTTGCTATTTTCTGAGTAATGTTACAATTCTGGACTGTTAGTACCAGATAGGGCATAAAATTGAAATTACAAGTGTTTTTCCATTACAGATGTGATGATTGTGAGGAAGTATGAGAACTGCTACGAACAAAGATGGAACTGAACCACTTTATTTTCGAAAGTGAAAATGTGGAATAACCAGTTTTTTTATCAAGGAATGAAATCGGGGAGGGTATCCCTAAATCCAGTAGCCATGGGATATTAATACTCCATGTTAACAAGAGCTAGGAATGTATTCTTCACATTTTTGTTTTGACAAGGTAACAAAATTCCTTATGAATACATAATAACATAGTATTAAGGTTGATTTTTGAATCATTGCTCAAAGGGCAACTGATATGAATTGTAAGTGTAACACTAACATCTATTATTATACCCAGTGTCTCCTTGGTATAAATAAAAACAATACATATTGATGTGTCAGAACATTTGCAAGTAACAATAAAAATGTAAACCATTTTTGCATTGATGGTACATACAATGACAAGAGTTAGGTTTTCAGAGCAACTTTGGCAAGGCCATGTGAGATATATTACTAATACTATTGTTACACCATGGCAAGAATACCAGAAAATACCTTGAAAATAAGAAAGATTTATAAATGTCATGGAGCAAACCTGTAGCATCCAGAGCACGGATTGCCTCGCAAAATACATTGGCTCTTTCTTGCCGGCGCGTCAAATTAGTTGAAGTAGTAACTGGCAAGGTTGTAAGTTGAGCAATCTTGGACAAAAGATGTGCATCAAGGTTAAGAAACTAACTGTGGAAACGCAGAAACCAATAGAGAATGAGACAGAATGTTGAGTTGAGAGTCGGGAAATTAAAAACACACTTCTTAATATTATTTTCAAACAAATAAAGTTAAGGATATAATCTCTAAGTTGTTCTGTTGTATGAGGTACTGCAACTACCAACGCGTGAATGACAGCAATAATAGCTTCATGGGATCCATCTTCAATAAAAGCACCCATTTGAACACGTATCTTGTCAACTATCTGCAAGAGATCATATTCTTAGTCAGGATTTTAAACGTTTAGTCATCATTAACTTTGAACCAACAAAACCCAAGCATATACACTAGCAAGAGATACCATTTCATTCTTGAAATGTTTAGCAACGGCACCAAATGCATCAATGCTAGCACACTTCACATCAAGGTCTTGTTCAGATCCGAGAGTAACTAATGCAGGCAAAGCATGAATCGAGACAACCTTTGCGTCAATATGTGGCACCTAATAATGAAGTCCTCTAAGTTAGTGCTGCCATTAATATGAGATTTAAATAGAAACTAAGAAAGTAGTAAGCTTACAAGAACTTTTAGAAGTTTGGCAGCGGTTACTTTCATGTTTATGTTAGAGCTAACAACCATTTCCCACAGTATTTCAAATATCATACCCTGGTTTTCTTCATATATGCTGCATTACAAATAGAGCTCATGAGCAAAATTGGCAAAAGGACCTCAACCAATTTTGAAAATATAAATAGATTATTAGTGGGTATACAGACCAAATGAAGCGGATTGCATTAATAATTTCAGGTGTATGCTTGGTTGATGTATTTTCCTTAGAATTGTCTTCTAGTAGCAGCTTTCTCGAGTAATCTATTAATTCTTTGCGTTTTCCAGGCCCACCCAAAACACCAGCTAACAAAAGCGGTAGGACACATGATGTAGAGAGCCTCTCAGCAACAGAAGATTTTGGTCTCAAACCTACAAGAAAACTGTCAAAAAATAAAGCAGTTCTGTAAAACTTCACACAAAAATTGAAGAATCATAACCTTTTATTCTTGAATGAATGACACTAGGAAAAAATGTTAAGTCGGCATCATCCCCAACTGCTGTTAAAAATACAGGGAGCATTATGCATGTAACATAAGTATCCCCAAACCTTTCAGAAACAGATAACAGAAACTGCAATGTGAAACTTTGATCAGAAATCATTCAGTTGCTTACGCAACTGAACATACAGCACAAAATAAAAAACCAGAAAATGTAACTGATTAACCTTTGAAATTCGGCTTCGCAAATTGTCTTCTTTCCAGGGTAACAAGCAAGCCAACTGTATCAGTTTAGGAAAACACTCAACATGCACCCATTCAAATGCATCCCATTTAAAATTTCCCCTAGCAAATGTTGAACCAATCAAGGTCAATAGTATGGACATTGTGATCATGCATAGTTTATGTTTTGGCATATACCGCCTATCCGTCCATTCACTTCACCCTTTTTACACAATATTCCAACCAGTAACTAATGCGTTGAAGGGAAAAATACAACATTCGAGAGCCCGGGATCAGTTCAATCAATTCTTTCATGTCCTATAGTTTCTACATAATAGTGCAAATTGAACAGTTTAAGTCAAGCTTACCTTGCATATAATTCAAGCAATGTAGTAGATAGCACAAATTGTGTAGTTTCTATGCTGGACAAGAAGGGGCATGTTTCAATTGCTTTCTGGTATACGAAAGAAAGCAAATCTGTCAGCATTTTCAATAGAACATCTATATTCCAGCGCTCTCTTTCCCCCAACACATGTAGATATGACTCTATACACCCTTCAACTACAGAAAGCGGTGGACAGTGCTGCAATTCCAGGAACAAAATTTTACTCAGAAATAAGTGCCAAGGATGAAGTTATGGGTCACAAAGGAACATTGAAGGCATAAAGGAAAACCAATACCTGAGCAGAGCTGAAAATATGAGAGAGTAAAACCCCCAAAACATGGTCTAATTTGTTTCCCCACTTTACAACTGCAGGAACCATCTCTTTGAGTGTAGTTTCCACCACCACTCCTGTGGGATCACATATCAATTGGAACATCAACTCCTCAACCTAACAAAAAATAAAACAAAGAATTGGAGCAACTCTTTATCTTTATTCTTTTTTTAAAAGAAAAAGAAAGTGTCTTAATTTTTATGGTAAGGGTATAAAGCTCCATTCCCTACACCGTCCCGTCAACCTGTCTCTGAGCTTACATTGCAGCCAATTCTCTCAAGTCAGAAATCTTCTCCATGATTGCCTCGAAGCATATATAGTGAAGCTGACCTTGAAATATTTATCCGTGTTTGGGAAAAGCGGAAGCAGCTTAGCCAAATTATGAGCTGCGGCCTCTCGAACAATAGTGGCAGAATCTTCTATTAGTTGTTGCACAATTGATAAAATAAGAGAATCGCGAATCTCAAGGCGTACAAATTCTGCTAGCTCTCCACATGATTGAGCAACAAGCAGTCTACGTTCCTCGTACATGTGATTTATCTGAAATCCATTATACAGAAAATCTGAAAAAAAGATTCAAAGTTATGATGGCCAGGAGTAAGCCAAAAATTAAAGTTAGGATATACTTGTTCCCAACACTGAGGAAGCAATTCTGTTTCAGTTCTCATCTCTCCAACATTCTTTGCAAGGCTGACACATGCCTGAAACGATCATAATTGTATTGAAAACCAGATTGTTTAATCAAGTAATAAGAAGTCAAATCAACTTACATCCATTATTATCCGTCTTTGTTGTTCATCGGGACGCTTTATTAAGTTAAATAATGTGTGGGTCAATGAATCCCGAGTCCTGCTATCTGGGTGGTGCTCAATCGCACACATTATTAGAGGAAGGAGCTCCTGTACCAAACAAAAGTGATGCAACATATCTTGTAGGCTATATAGTTGTAAATAAAATAGAGAAAAACAAACCTCGCGATGGTTGATAAGGACATATGGAACAATTTTAGGCAAAGCATCTGCGAGTATCTGAATGGTTCCTAATCCCTGTCAAAGTATTAACATACATAAGAAAGGAAAAATAAAAGTGCATGAAGAAGTAGACAGGCAAATATCCTTTGTTTAAAGGCTCGTGAGTTTGACTTTCACTTATTCCTTAAAGGGTGAGAATGTGATTTTTGCTCTGTATATACATACATGCAAGAACTGCATTACATGCAATGAAAACCAGGAAAGAGTGTACTAGTTTATTTGTAACACTAGAATAAGCCCTTTGCCAAAACTAGTTCTGCAAATTCAGCTTTACTGAATTCAAGAAGAGTTTTTTTTAATGGAATTCAGGAAGAGTTTAATTATGTATCCACTATCAATCTGCCATCTAAGGGGTTACCATATTAAAAGAATTTGACATTTTACTTTTAACTAATATTACAAAATATGATTGGATTATAAGCTGGAAGAACTAAGAATCTTGCTAACTAGTATCTAAAAGGCACTCAATAAGGAAATGATAAGTGACTTTTATATGTAGTAACTAAGTAACTTAAAATATTGTACATTAGTTATTTTCTATTTTGATTAGCTAACATGACTTTTAACACTTCAGCATTTGACAAATTTAACAAAGTTAAAGCTAGGGAAAATGTAATGGTGTATGAGATTTTGATCAAGTAGAATGGACTTGCCGTCTTCTCAGATATTGCTTTGTCATTTACACCTTCTGTTTTAACATGTAACCTGATATCCTCTCCTTGCTTGCTGCCATTTTGTTCGGAGACATGTTCAATATTTTCAGAAACAGTGTTTGTATGTGCAGGATTAAATAAGTCTAGTTGTGAATCTGTGTGTTTATCAGCAAATTCATTAAGAGTTTGAAGAGCTGGAGAATGAGCATCTTCATTGTGTACAACATCCAATGTCGCACCTTGGTCCTCATGCATCTCAATAACTTTGTCTTCTGTTTGCATAAGTTCATTTTCAGAACTACCAAAATTTCTATGTTCAGGAGTTCCTCTATTCTTTTCCTTCAACCGTTCAATTTCCATTTGTAATTTCTTAATTTCTTCCTTGTACTTATCTAAAAGGTCGGGCAGAGCATTATCAACATCATTAATAGCCACATTATTTCCAGAACCAAATCCTTTAATATGCATTTTCAAATTATTGATCTCAACTCTACTGTCATGGAGCTCCTTTCTTTGATTCTCCAAGGACTGCTTTAAAACTTGAACCTAAAACTTATATCAGTATACGATTCATCATAGAAAATTGATATAGTTTGACAGAATATTATCAAAGTAGATTGCAACTACCATGTTCTCTTTCTGCTTAAGATCTTCTTGAAGTGCGCCCAAGGATTTAGTTAATGCCCTTATTTGACCATCTGCCAAATCTTTGCCCTTCAACAAACTCTCCTTTTCTTCATTCAGCCTCTGATTTTCCTTCATAAATGCTTCATTTTCTTGAACTAGGCCAATATTTTCCTGCATATTCGTTCATGTGGGGTTCAACGTTAACAGTAACTTGGAAGTGATATTGCAGGATTGGTATGGCTAACACATTTACATAAATCTTCAAAGACCCATTAAAAGTAAATCCTAGGCAATCAGTTCCACCGCATTATACAGAAGTTTGATTTGTTATGCATAAAGGGGAACTGAATTGTATCATTAAAAAGTATATGATTTAACGAAGTTAAATTTCTTTGTACATAATAAGTTTTACAGTAAAGAGAAGATATGGAATATGGGGGCGAGAAATCCACATAATGAAAACAAAACAGTTACTGAAATTGGAGCCAGCAAAGAAACAATGAACAATGCAAGAACCTATAGTTGAATCTCATAACTATTTGATGAATTTGCATATAGATTGGAAAGGTCGCAGAACTAAATAGGCATGTGATCCAATCATAACCCTAAACGATACTAACAAATTTGATTATAATCACTATCATTATGTCAACAACTCCATTATTGAATCAGTCATTTTGTTTTACTTTTTCGGCTACTGTAGACTACTTTAGAAAAAACTCTTATCTTCTTGTAACGGACTGCTCTTATATATTTCACTATAAGGAATTTCGTTACTAAAAATTGATTCAATTCAATGAGCTAATTTGGCTACTCCAGAGATTAAATAATGACCTCAGCAGCCTCTGAATTCGAAGAAAGATAATGATAATAATAATGCCGTAAGGCATCCGGTATTAACGCATTTGAGTTCTGCCAAACATCCAAGTTCTGGTCTGTAACCTACAATAAAAGTTATGACAAATTAAACATAAAGCACCAAAAATAGCTATTATAATAAAATTGAAGACACTTGAGTTGAATTTTGCATGATATTGATATTGATATTGATATACCTCTTCATAAAATGTCATTGCAGTGAGTCGATAACCAGCTATAAGCAAATATTCCTTGACAGCACAATTGAGATCGCGACGCTCAGTATCCTTCACTTGACCTAAAGCCGCGACCGGACTCTGATTATTCCCTTGTTGCTGTTGAGTTTGTACCTCACCACCACCACCGTTCACCAGAACATCTCCACCTGACTTCATCGTTGCATCATGGATGATATTACATGCTCCTTTAGATTGCAATTCTTCTTTCAGCTTGGTAATGTCTTCCAGCGCCAAACGCAGTTCGTAATCAGTGATCGCTAACTTTTGCTCCGTTTCTTCTTTATTTTGTAGCAGCGCTTGTGGATCCGCAGCTGTAAAAACGCGATTGCAATTTCAAAAAAAGTGATTCATATAACAAAATCAAAATGCAGAAATTAAGATAAGAGAGATATACATGGGAGAGAGTTGAGTCGAGAGATGTGATTTGGAGGGAAACGAGAAGGATCGGCGAAGTATTGTTGAAGACGAATGGCTTGATCGCTTCGTCCATCATCGAGAAGTTCGTGGAGAAGTTCAAAAGCGGTTAGAATGTAATTCTCTTCTAACAGAAAGTTAACGACGCAATTGCAGAGCGACGATTTCTCTACTTCCATTCTTTCGGACTTTCGCTTCGTAATCTCAATCTCATCGCCATGCATTTTTTTCCATTCGGGATTCTATCTTCTAACAGAAATTGTAAGCGCGCTTTTCGCGTTTCCCTCGCAGATCAACCAAAACAATTCACACCGTCACTTTTTTTCATTATTTTGCTATTATTTTCCTCCATTTGTGTATTTCTCTTTTTCGTAAACATAATAGGTAGAAGAGTAAATAGGACGTGGGAGAATCGGAAAAGAAAGTATGAGAAGGAAAAATACCCCTTCATTTAAATAAGTCTAAGACCTCGCAATTTTAATTAAGTATTGTTTCTCACTTTCTCAACGTTTTAAATAAGAATATAGTTAGTGTTTAACTAATTATTTTTGCTTTTATTTTACGATCAATCAATGATGCTCTTGGGTGAAATTGATACCAATGTTATAAAAGTCATACCGAATTTGCCGGTTTGATCAAAAATCAAAGTTGAATCTATTTTTATTAATTTTTTAAAATTATTAATGGGTCAAATTTAAAATAAAACAAAAAAAATCAAATTAAATCATTCAAAATTGGTTGAGTCAAACAATCAGAGCTGATTTTTATAATTTTTTTTTAATTTAATAAGTCTATATCAAAACTTAAAATATTTTTCATTTAAAAAAAACTTATTTTTTCTACAACCATACAAGTTTTTAAGTTATATCACTATATTATAATTTTTCTTTCAATCGTGCTCTATCATCATCACGTCATCTTTTTCAAATATAATCACACTTTCTAACTCAATATTGTTTATTGTTGTTCAGTTATGAGTTATTTGTCGTCGTTTAATTCGAATTTGTTTAATGTTGTTCAAATAAGTATATTTTGTTGTTTATTTTTTTATAATTCTAACTTATTTAATTTAAATATTCTTAACTATTTAAATTTTATATTAGATATTATATTTTAATATTTTTATTTTAGTTTGAATTAGTTTAACTTATTTTATTAAAATTTTTTAATTTGTTAAAAATATTCTTAAATGAATGTTGAAATTAAGTGTACAACATAATTATGTTATGTTATTACATGTACTATTAATATAAAAAATATATATTTTTATTAAATTATGAACATGAAATTGTGTACTATAAAATTTAGTTTCATATTATTAATTTATTTAATAAATAGTTCGACCATAAATTTAATCGCTTAAATCAAATATTTCACCAGCTCAATTTTTAGTCTAATTTTTAAAACATTAGGTGATACTCATGTTTAAATCATGGTTTATAGTGTTACCTTAACTTTATTTGTTGCAGTTTTTAAAATAATTTTATAATATCGTGTATTTTTGTTTTAAAAATTTATTAAAAAATTGGTTTAAATAATTTTTTAAAATATCATTTTAAATATTTTATTATTTTATTATATTTTTTATATTATAATTTTAAGAAGTCGTGCATCGGAAAGATTCGTCAAAAATTGTGCAGGTTTAGCATTTGATATCAGAATAACTATTAGTATACCTTTTTAAATAGGGAATCGATTTACGAGTCTAACACATTGCTTTGTAGGGATATATGAGTCTTTTAAGTCATTCGAGTTTGTTTCAGGCCCAAATATAATATTTTAATATTTTCGCAATTTTCTATTTTATTTATGTTTTAGATTAAAAGCCCATTAGAGTTTATTTTTCTGTTTTGGATTAAAAGCCCATTATGATTTTATTTTATGTATTTAAACACCTTTAGGTGTGGTCGTCAAGATTATCTTTGATCATAATAAAATTCAATTATTTTCTCTTTTGATGGATTCAAAGCTTTATCTGACAGGTTTGTCGCTTCCAAACTTGTATTTCGTTCTAGGCTTAGCCCTTACTATTCCTTCATGATTCTGACTACGTCAATTTGGTACCAAAAGTTTAGAGAGGACTAAGTTAAATTATGCAATCATAACACTTATTTCTTTCATACACAAATTATCTTCTAATGTAAGAGAAATACCATTAATTGTATCACTTTGTCGTTTGGTGAATGGCGCACAGATAATGATACTCTAGTTTTAGACTTTAAGATATTTTAAAAGTTTGTTATGTACTAAGAATCATCTATTTTCCCTCTTACAGCCTTTAGAACCTTTTTTTTAATGTTAACTATAAATATATTATCTTGGTTATAATCACAAAGTAAGAAGTCTATTAGGCTCTTATGAACATGAAATCATATACAGCTCTGGCCTGGATGGGTTCCAACCCATTTTCTTTAAAATATTTTTCCAGTATATTGAGGATGAAAGTTATAACTTTGTAAGGTATATTTTTTACAAAGATTACATGGTGTGGTTCTATGTGGTGTGCGGATTAATGTCTTTAAAGGATTTTGATGATGGCAACCAAATAGAGAAAAGATAAGTCAAGTATCATTAGTAAATAAAAAAGCTCAATGAAAAGTATTCAATTTCCTTGTTAAAGAGCTAAGAATAGTCAAATCAATCTACCAAAAAGAGCCGAAGATGTGAAAACTTGTCTGATTATGAGTGTTTCATTCTAGAACCATAAATGGAAGAATGAACGACAGTAATGGTGGATTGTGGCTTCCGACATGGTGGAGTAGGGGGGTTGTAAGGTTAGAACTTCAACGCTCAAGTCAGTATAAGAGAAAGAAGAGCGAAATAAAATTGTATTTCAAACTTGTTAATTCAACTGGCGCCTACTCTCTCTCTCTCTCTCTCCCCCATTTTTTAGGGTCTGAAAGAAATAAGACCCCTTCCTAGTGGTCGGCTGGGATTGGTGCGGTCGGCCTAAAACGATTTAGGGTCGATTTGGTCAGCCTAGAACGATTTCCCTCAAGTTCTTGTCGATGTTTAAAGTAGTTGGAGTTTAATATTATATCCATAGGTGCCGACCACCCCTTGGTCATTTTGAGATAGATAGATAAGAAGCCTTTCCAGCCCTTAAAGAACCATGCATTTAATGCTACATATTTCAAGTGTTTTTACATAGATATCATCATGACAGTTCTTGGGAATTGAAACTCTTGAGTGTTGTGTGTGCATGATTAGACGTGTATGGTAAAATCTTTTTGCATTCCAAAATATATCTTTATTCTAGGCGAATAAGTACTCTTTTTCTTTATGGTTCTTTCTTTTCCAATTTAACAGTTTTCCCTTTCTTTATCATTTCATTTTTCTACAACTAAAAAGTTAGTGCAATATGAGTGAAAAATCACAGAAAATTGTTCGTAAGTCTCTGAAGGATAATCCATCTTCTTGGATGGATCTAATTTATTCTTTCATTATCTCCACTTTTGTTAGACAAGGTGATCTTGACGTTGCGCTTTTGTAAAAGTTGGTTTATCCCCTGACTGGGGAATTGTGATTCCTTCTGAGGATGAAAGAATATGCGATAAGTATAGCGCTTGTATCACTCTTTTTTATAAATATGTTTTTTCCACGTGGGTCTTCTTCCCCCTTTTATTGCTTTTGAGATACAGGTTCTGAAACATCCCTTCATTTGGATGAATATTGTGCTTACTTGGCTAGATTTTATAGGCTTGTTATGGATGAAGAAATGGACAACTTGTCCATGTCTATCCAAAATGCCTTGACTGCATTGGCCCTTGATGCATCCGATCACTAGGAGGCTTTCTAGTCAAAAGCAATAGATAGAAAACAATGTCCTCAACCTAAAGCGTCAATGAGATAGATACTTCCATGAAACAAAGAACACTTCTACCACTTTTTTTGAGATGAATAATATTCTGATAGAAAAAGACTCATAAAAAAATATTAATTCTCTCATTTATACTTAAATAACATTCTCTCATTTATATTTAAATAAGTTGGTAGCTCTTCAATTTGGTTGGGTACTAATCAATCATCTATTTATAAAATGCTATATCATTTTTATAATAATTTATTTCAAAATTAATTATATTTATAATTAAATTTTACCTAAAAGTATGTTGTAGTGTAGCTAAGAATTAAAGTTAAACTTAGTGTCTAAGTCTTCCATGATATTAAGGGCACACAAGTCAACAACAAGTCAACAACAATCAGTCCATTCTTAATTCTCAACTATAATTCATAAATCAGTTCCCCCGCCATGTCACGTCATCACGTACCAGTAACGTGTCTTCTCTTGAAGCTTCTCCTCACCAAGCCTATTTATTATATAACTCTTTTGCACTGAGGTAAAAGGTTCTCCCATATTGCTTCGAATATATTGTAAAGGAAATAATTAAAGAGCATGAGTTACCCTCACAACCACAGGCACTCGCCTCCACCACCAGGACCTCCACCACCACCACAACCGCCTATGTTCCACCCTCCACCACCTCACGATCCTTTTGATCCCCCGCCACCTCTCTTCCACCATCCACCCCCTCCTCCAAATCCGTACGCTCCACCACCGCCACCACCAGTTGTACACCACCATCATACACCACCGCCACCGTGGCACGGTCCTCCAGGTCCTCCTCCGCCACAGCCTGGTCCTCCGCCGCCACGCCCTCCTTATTATTAATCTTACCCCAAAACGGATCATCCTATCCATGTTTACTTCCTAATTACCATCATAAATTTTATATTATTATTACGTAAATTATAATATGTTATGGATAATTAGCTATTATATTTTATGTAGCTAGTTCGATGATCCTTGTAAAATAACTCTACGCGTCTTTCTCGATAACAAGTAATGTACGCTTTATTTAGAACAATCAAAATCAGAATCTCCAAATGATTCTTGATTATTGTGTTTGGTGTTCTTAATTTCACACTGTGTTAGAGAAATAGCAAATATTTTATTTTCTACGACTTCTTCTATTCCATTGCTAATACAAATCTTATCTCTTAACTCAGATAATGAGTTCAGAATTGACTCATCCTTGGGGGCATCCTGAGTTAAGTTAAGGTTATAGTTTGCTTTAACTTAAATCAATTATCAATTAATCGATTTTGATCAAATAATCAAAAATGATTTCACTTTTAGTAGATTTTGTTGAGAAATCCCTCCATTATGTATTCACAA